CCCCAAAACCCCAAAACCCCAAAACCCCAAATATCAATGAAAAAATTGAAACTTCCCTCTGGTGGAATAATTTAGCAACAATTATAGTATTCATTTTCAAAGTAGTTGAATCCTTCTCTCGTGCGGAGGAGATCTGGATGGCGAAGAGTCCACTCTCTAGTCTTGTTCCCATGCCATAAAGTCATCTTTAGGTTGTTCCAGATGCCATAATCAAATGGGAAGACTGTTCTAGGATAAACTTTTAGATAACTAATTGATGTCTTTTTCGAATGCTCCCATGTTGTTTGATTTGTCATCAGAAGGAAAAAATGATAGAAAAGGAGAATTGCGGTGAAGAAAAAGAACATAACAGTTAATCAGATTAAGAAAATAAATATAGCTTTTACATGAAACTGTTGCTTTAGTTCATCAATTTTGACAGCACGGTCGTACCCACTGACAGCTATATCAAATGACATCACCAGAGAGAAAGTTTTAATGACTAAAAATGCAAAGAATTTTCGATGATTTAGCTCTCCAACTCATCCTCCAATCCAAAATCAATGATGATCATATTTCCTCACACAGGTTTTACAATCTCTTCAATGCTTAGTCCTGTACGGCTGAGTAACTTTTCATTCTTCTCAATATCTTTTAGGAGGAATTTCAAATGGCGAAATATGCTCAATTCCTGTAATCCTGCTCTTTAGCTCAACTTCTGACACTCTCTCCTCAGTTTCCTCATCTCCTTGAGTCTGAACCCCTATCTGTGAGTCATTAGCCTCCTTAGCTACTTCAAAAACAGCATCAGACTCTTGCTTGTGCTCTTCAACTGCTGCCTCTATGCTATCCCTATTAACAACATGTCTTCCATTAACAAAGTAGCCGGTCTGGTACTCCTTGCCCTGCACTAGGTCTTCAGTAGGGTAATCCCTGAGGTAGCCTCAGTTCGTGCCTGCTGTGAAGAAGAGTATTGTTGAGGATATTAGTAAGGAACAGTACAGTACAAGGTAGGTTATATGGTAATCATGGATCGCTTCCAGAAGTTGGTTGTCGTAATAGCCCAAAGCTATGAAAGATAGGGTATAAGTAATAATGTAAAATCCTCTTGCAGACATTGAAGATATCTGAACGTCTTCAGGAAGAGATGTGTCTAAGCAGAAGATGTATTTTAACATTTATATAATTATTATTTAGACTCGGGTTTTGAAGGGGTTTTGGGGTTTTGGGGTTTTGGGGTTTTGGGG